TTTTGTCTGTGATATGGTGTTTATTGAGATCAAAAGCTTTCTTCACTCTGAATTTGCTATTTAGTTTTCTTTCGGGCTTGGCTCTTCTTTGGCCAAAGAAAAACGTCACCTGTTATCTAATTCGCGAACTTAACTTTTTTGATGAGAGATGAAGTTACCCTGTCTAGTTACCTTTTTTTTTTTATTAAAATTACATGGCTGACGTTCGATCACGCGCATACCACTCCCTGTCGAACCATTGTGCACTTCTTTTCAAATCTGTAAGGGTAAGAAAAACTGCTAATTACATTACCCATACTTTCGTCAATGCACTGTTCGATATTTTTGGAGGGATCAAAATTGCTCAGAGCTAACGTTTCAAACGAGAGAGAAATGCAAAAAGAGGGAATCCACAAAAAGAAGTCTGCTAAGACGCAACAGTTACCTTATCTCTTACTATTGATATAGGGTTTTACGCTTTACGGATTTTCGATTCTCTTTGCACATCCATTCTTAGCTTTCTATACTTTGTAAAATCTGTGGATAACATCTCCCCCGTCTATATTCTAAAGACCGCTAACAGATACGAGCAAAATATTTGGCTATGATTTTACACCATATCTTTCTTGTGTAGTATAAGTAAGCGTAAATGAGCTTAGTATATGCAATGTTTTCGTGCATTTCATTAATGTTATAGTAGATTATATATGCGCGGTTTCCCAAAAATTATGATCATTTTTGCTAATCAATCCTTTGTTTATATATTTTTCTAGGTTTGCCATTCATCCTACCTAGCTACCTTGAACTTACATTTCCAATGATAAAAGGATTGTGTGTCATCTTTGATCACAGTAGGATTATGGCATAATGTTGTATGCGGCTTTAGTGCGGGTTTAAAGCAGTGTTGGCATTCTAAAGGTTCTAACAGCTCCGGAAACTTGTTTGTTAAGGTTGTTTGAGACAAATTATGATAACTTTTTGTCCAAGATAACAACGTAATCCTACAGTAATGGGAAGGGTAGCATGATTGTTTACAAGCAGAGGGTTGTGGGATAAGTTTGGGCAGTTTTTTTTTTCAGCCATAAAATTCCAAATGCTCAGGTTTTGGCATTCTTCTCATACCAATAGGAAGATCTGATCTATCTAGTGACATATGATGTCATGCTAAATTCTTCATTTTTTTG